AGACCCATGAGTTGGATCTTGGGTACTGCAGGAAGCAAAGGGGAGAAGTAACTGTTATTGAGGATCTTAATTTGTATCCAGCAGTCTAAGGAATGAAGCACAAATAAAGCTGTGATTGGTAAAGGAGCAGCAGTGACTTGGCTTAACCAGGAGAAGCAAATGTCTGTCTGGTCGCTGTTGGACAATGCTCACTTTTTGCCTGTGTTCAAACATGACAGGTAGGCTTGTTTTGTGTTGTTCCACCATGGTCACTGAGTGGCCGCTTCCGATGATGGCATTCTGTGAAATTATTTATATTCTGCATGAGCAGAAGAATAACAGAGCCTTGCTGTGACTGCCAGGCCAGGTCTTAGCAACACCAAGGTCAGCTGGGAACACCAGGACAGTTCCTGTCTCTTTCTCAAAGGTCAAGCTCAGCCCTAACCAGATGGTGGAGGATGCTGGGAGGGATGGGCAGTGCCTGCAAGGTTCAGTGCTGTACCATTGGTTCCTAGAGCAGGGCCTGGCATACAGTAGACTGTTATAAGGTTGTTGGGGATAGTACAGGCTCAAGAGAAGGGACCCAGTTGCTCATGCAGGCTCTGTAGTCTTAGGTCCTCTTTGCTCTGCAGGCCTAGAACTAGGCTTAGATTTTTTTCTGGGAAGGAACAGTGTCCCCAGTTGAGGGTTGGGGGACACACAAACCCCTGCACCCCAGTCTTAAGCAAGGAGGGCTGTGGTTGAATGTGGGGATTAAAGAATCTCTTGGGATGTTGTGGGGAAGGCAGGCCTGGGGATGGCAGGGGTTCGGGGTCCAGATGAGAGAAAATGGGGGTTCCTTTTGGAGGGGGATGTGGTCTGGGAAGAATTGGATAGATTCAAGGGACATTTTGGTGACTGTTGGGACATGGGTGGAACGTATGTGAGGGAAAGAGTAAGCATGATGTCTAGGTCTTCTGTTGGCTGTGGGGTATCCCTGAAGTGGGGACATGGGAGAACAAGATGTTTGGGGATGATGCTGTGGTCAGTCTGGGACTTGCTGAGTGTGAGGGGGCTTATGGGATGAATAGGGGAAATGTCCAGATGGCAGATGGAAGCAGGAGATAAGTCAGGATTGGTGAGAGTTGGAGGAGAGGCCAGTGAAGAGGTGGCTAGGCAAATTGTAGCAGTGGACAAGGTCTCCCAGGACAATGTGGGTATAGCATGAACAAAGAGAGTTTGGACAGGCTGCTGAGCTCTGCAGGCCATGACACTTATTGAGAACTAGTTTTGTGCCAGGCTATGGGGATATAGCTGTGACAAAGACAGATAAAAATCTCTGCCCTGGTGTAGTTCACATTCTTTTGAGGAGAGACAGATAATTAGACAACTAGATAAAGCAGCAAAATATACAGTTGCATTTGATACTGTTACAAGCTAAGGAGAAAAATGAGACAGCAGGAAATGTGGATAGGAAGTGCTGCAGTGTGATGGGGAGGTCCTATGAGAAGATAATGTTTGAGTAAATACAAGGAGGAGGTGAGTGAGGGAGCCAAGTGGGTATCTGGAGGGAGAGCATTCCAGATAGAAGGAACAGCAAATACAAAGGTCCTGAGGTAGGATGTGCTGTAACTTCAAGGAATAGGAACAAGGTAAGTGGTTGGAGAGGAGTGAGTGAGGCAGAAAGAGTAATAGGAATTGAAATCAAGAGGAAATATTTTGCAAAAAGCAGTCAACATCATTAGTCATTAGGAAAAGGCAAAACAAAGTTATGGTGAGATACCACTTTACATTCAGTAGGATGACTATAATAATTTTTATTTCATTTATTTAATTTTTATCCTCACCTGAGGATATTTTTTTCCCATTGATTTCAGAGAGTGGAAGAGAGGGAGGGAAAGAGGGAGAGAGAGAGAAAAGAAAGGAGAGAAACATTGACTAGTTCCTCCTGCCTGCACCTGGACTGGGGCCAAGGATCCAACCTGCAACCCAGACATGTGCCTTTGACTGGTAATCCAACCCGAGACCTTCTGGTGCACAGGACAATGTTCTAACTCACTGAGCCACACTGGCCTGGCTATAATAATAATTTTTAAAATGTAAAATAAAAGTATTGGCAAGAATGTGGAGAATTTTTTGTATCATTGGTGGGAATGTAAAATGGTACAGCCACTGTGAAAAACAATCTTTTGATTTTTCCTCAAAAAATCAAACATAGAGTTACCATATGACCTAGTAATTCCACTCTTAGGTTTCTACCAAAAACACTGAAAGCAGGGACTCAAACAAGTACATGCACACCCATGTTCACAACAGCATTATTCACAATAGCCAAAAAGTGGGAACAACCTCTATGTCCATTAGCTAATGAATAGATAAACAAAATATGGTTCATCCATATGATGGAATAGTATTCAGCCAGGAAAGGAATGAAGTACTGATATAAACTCCGATGTGGACGAACCTCAAAAACATTGCAGTCGTCTCTCTCCACTTTGTGCTTCGACTTTTGCAGCTTCACTCTATTGCAGTTTTTGCAAATATTGTATATTATTTGGAAAAACTATGATAGAGTGAAGCCGCGAAAGTCGAAGCATGAAGTGGCGAGGGATGACTGTATAGTAAATAAAGAATCCTACTTCGCGGAAATTCATTTATCGCGGTACAGTCTGGAACTGATTAACCACGATAAACAAGGGCTGACTGTATGCTTAATGAAAGAAGCCAGACACAAATGGTCACATATTTCATGATTCCATGTAAATGAAATGTCCAGAACAGGCAAATCCAGAGACAGAAAATAGATGGTGTTTGCCAGGGGTCAGGGGAGGGAGGAATAAGAGTGACTGCTTAAGTGATAGTTTTTATTGCAGGGAGATGCAAAATTTTTTTATTTGAATCCTCACCTGAGGATACTTTTCCATTTATCATAAGATAGAGTGGGAGGGAGGGAGGGAGAGAGAGGGAGAGAGAAACATCAATGTGAGAGAGACACATTGACTGGTTGCCTCCCGCATGACTTGACAAGGGCGAGGGACAAACTGCAAGGTACATGCCCTTGACCAGAATTGAACCAATGACTCATTGGTCTACAGGCTGACGCTCTAACCACTGAGGAAACTGGCCAGAGAGGTAATGCAAGTGTTTTGAGATTAGAAAGGAGTGATGTTTGTACAACACATGAATGTACTAAATGCCCCTGAATCATACATTTTATTTTTTTTATGAGGCTTACAAGTTTTTATTGAATCTGGGACTCTTAATAAAGAAAAATCAAGAAATTTACGTATTGCTCTCTGGCTTTTTAAAAAATATTAATTTATTTTTGTTACAGATGTTTCTTCTTTTCCCCCCACTGATTCCCCTCTCCCCCTCCCTCCCTGCCCTGTCTCCAGCTTTGTTGTCCATGCCCATTGTTCATGCATACATGCATATAAGTTCTGTGGTTTATCTCTCCCCCACCACCCCCTTTTCTGGGAATTGTCAGTCTGTACCCCACTTCCACATCTCTGGGACTACCCCATTCTTCAGACTGTTATGTTCATTATATTCCACAAATAAGTGAGATCATATGATACTTGTCTTTCTCTGTTTGGTTCTGAATCATACATTTTAAAATGGTGACTTTTATCACAATTAAAAAAAAAGTAAACAGGTCATAATTTTTTGAACAAAACGTATTTGAAATAATACACAAATAATGCACAAAATTCAAAAGCTACAAAGTGGTATAAAAGTGAAAATTTAGCCCTGGCCAGTTTGGCTCAGCGGTTAGAGCGGCAGTCCGTGGACCAAAGAGTCTCGGGTTCGATTCTGGTCAAGGGCACATACCTCCATTGCATTTTGGTTCCCTACCCTCGTTGGGGTCACCGATCTTTCTCTCTCTCTCTTCCCCCCCTCCCTCCCACTCCCTCCCACTCTAGTTAAAGATAAATGGAAAAATATTCTGGGGTAAAGATTAAAAAAAAAAAAAGTGAAAATTTAATTTCCTTTTTCAAGCCACCAGTTACCCTATCTGGAGGAGACTTCAGTCATCAGGTTCTTCTTTTTTTTTTTTTTCTTTTATTGATTTTACAGAAGGGAGAGGGAGAGAGAGAGAGAAACATCAAAGACAGAGAACATCAACTGGCTGCCTCCTGCATGCCCCCACTGGGGATTTGGCCCACAACCTCAGCATGTGCCCTGACTGCGAATGGAATCGGTGACCTTTTTTTTTTTTTTTTTAATCCTCATTCAAGGATATTTTTACATTTATCTTCAGACAGAGTGGGAGGGGGAGAGAGAGAGAGAGAGAAACATCGATGTGAGAGAGACAGATTGATTGGTTGCCACCTGCAGACCCCAACTGGGCTCAGGGACAAACTGCAACCGAGATACGTGTCCTTGACCGGAATCAAACCTGGGACTCTGGTCCGCAGGCCAGGGCTCTAACCACTGAGCAACCGACCAGGGCCCAGTCGGTGACCTCTTGGTGCACGGGTCCACACTCAACCACTGAGCCACACCGGCTGGACGGTTACCACATTATTATTTACTCTTCTAGAATGGGTCTGTGCACTTCCTTAATTTAAAAAAAATGCCTTATATATTACAATAGCCACAAATGCTCACTATACACAAGCAGAAAATGCAGAAAGGGTGAAAGAGAAATTAAAAAAGAAAACTCTCTCCTTGAATCCAAGCTAACAAGTTGGTTAGTGATTTTGCTTGGAATAATTTGTGTGTGTATGGGTAATTGGGCGTTGGTTAAATTTGTGCGTCGGTTAACTTTAAAAAGAAGCCACTGTGGGGCCATCAGGTGTGAGCTCCCGCGGGTGGGAGGCGGAAGGCAGCGAGCTCCCGGGACAGTCCCGGGTGCACAGGCCGGCGGGAGCGCACAGGTGACAGCCCCATTCTAGCAAATTCCGTCGGGGGATGACACAGTCAAAGGGCCTGTTCAAGGACAAAATGTTGCCTCTGGCCTTTGCTGAACGTTCCGGGTCTTGACCTCATGACAGATCACGCCCCCTGCCGTGGCGCGGTGACGTCACGGCGAAGTCGCAATGGCTGCCCTGAACTGGCTGACGTTGGCGCTGGAGTCGTACCGAGGCCGGGACCGCCTGGTGAGGCTGGGACTGAGCGTGGCTAGAGGACCCGAAATTGGACCAAACCTCAGAGACGGGAAACTGGGGCCAGAGAGGGGGCGGGGTCGGTTAGGATTCCCCAGACGCAGAGGGCATTGTCCAAGCTGGGCTCCAACCCGGTTCCCAGGCGGTGGACTTTTAGCTTGTTCCTGCCTACCCATCGTGGCTAGACATTTACAGCGGTACCAACCAAATCCTCACATTGGGACATTTGGACTGGAGTAGTTCACTGGGTTGTCCCAAACAATCTCATATGATGACTTAGGATGTTGCGGGCCTTTCCCCATGTCTGAACGCTTAGGTTGGGACCAAATCCCCTATAGTTGAGCATTTAGGTTGTTCCCACCAACCCAACTTGGCTGGACATTTACATTCTAACCAAATCCCCATGTTTGGACATTCAGGATCTGACTAGGCCACTGTAGTTGGTCCTTGGGTTGTCCCGAAAAATCTCTCGGATTTAGGGTTTTGTAGGGCTTTCCCTATGCTTGGATTTTTACATTCTGACCACATCCCCATCTGGTTGGGCATTTAGGTTATTCCATCCAAGCCCCTGAAGTCAGACTCTCCACTTGTCCTAACCAGTCTATAACAGAGGTATTGAGGTTGTATCAGCGTATGTACTGGTGTCTGGGCATTAGGTTCCAACCTAGGCATTTGAGTTTTAACATCCTCCACCCCGACCAAATTGGACATTTAAATTGCAGCATTTTGTTGTTCCAAAGGGGCCGAACAGGAATTATACATTAAAATAGTATGTAAAACAACTGGAAAAATAATTTCTGAAAAGCAGACAAAATCAAGATAGAAGGGTGGTGAAGCTGATCCATTTCACAATGACCTAAATCACCCACTAAATGGGTTCCTTCTCACTAAAATAATTTAAGCATATTTTTTAACTCATCTTCATTGTTGAATGTATTACATATGCCTCCCCCTTTTTTCCCATTGACGCCCTCCTCTCCAATTTTGCCTTCCTCCTCCCTTCCCCACACTTTTGTCAGTTATGCATATATGCATAGAAATTCTTTGGTTTATCTCATCCTGCCATCCCTCCCCCCTTCCCTTTTTGAGGTTCATCAATCTAACAACCAATTTGTCCTTTTTTTTTTTTTAATCTTTATTGTTGAATGTATTACAGATGTTCCTCATTTTTCCCCCATTGACCCCACTCCTGCCCCCCTCCTGCCTTTTCCCACACTGTTGTCTGTGTCCATTGGTTATGCATATATGCATATAAGTTCTTTGGTTTATTTCTTCCCACTCCCTAAACCCCCCTTCCCTTCGAGGTTTGTCAGTCTAACAACCAATTTGTTCTTAATCCCTTCATCTTTTCCACCCATTCCTCCAACCCCCCTTCCATCTGGCAACCAACAAAGTGTTCTCTGTATCTATGAGAATGTTTCTGTTCTGCCTATTCATTTTGTTTGTAGATTCCATTGTCGGTAGATATGTATTCATTGCCATTTTGTTTGTTCATATATTTTATCTTTTTCTTCAAAAAGACCCTTCAACATTTCATATAATAATGGTTTGGTGGTGACGAACTCCTTTACCTTTTTCTTGTCTGGGAAACTCTTTATATGGCCATTGATTCTAAATGACAGCTTTGCAGGATAGAGTAATCTTGGTTGTAGGTTCTTGCTTTTCATCACTGTGAATATTTCTTGCCACTTCCTTCTGGCCTGCAAAGTTTCATTTGAGAAATCAGCTGACAGTCTTATGGGAACTCCCTTGTAGGTAACTAGCTGCCTTTCTCTTGCTGCTTTTAAGATTGTCTCTTTGTCTTGAACCTTTTGCATTTTGATGATGATGTTTCTTGGTGTGGGCCTCTTGGGGTTCATCTTGTTTGGGACTCTCTGTGCTTCCTGGACTTGTATGACTGTTTCCTTCACCACGTTAGGGAAGTTTTCTGCCATTATTGTTTCAGATAGGTTTTCGATTTCTTGTTCTCTCTCTTCTCCTTCTGGCACCCCCAAGATGCGAATGTTGGCACACTTGAAGTCCCAGAGTTTCCTTACACTATCCTCTTTTTGGATTCTTTATTCTTTTTGCTGTTCTGATTGAGTGTTTTTGCTTCCTTGTATTCCAAATTGATGGTTTGCTTCTTGGCTTTACCTACTCTACTATTGAATCTGTGTAAATTATTCTTTATTTCAGTTAGTGCCTCCTTCATTTCTGACTGGTCCTTTTTAATGCTCTTGAGGCCCTCACTTGCATTAAGTTCATTGAGCATCCTTATAAGCAGTGTTTTGAACTCAGCATCTGTTAGGTTGCTTATCTCCATTTCGCTTAGTTCTTTTCCTGGAGATTTTTTCTGTTCTTTCATTTGGGACCTGATTCTTTGTCTCCTCATTTTGGCTGCCTCCCTGTGTTTGTTTCTATGTATTACTTAACGGGACGTATGGGGCTAGCTGAGATCAGATGCTGCTCGTTTGAAAGAATTTAGGAAAAACCTGAAGCAGGATCCAAGACAGGCCAATCCTATGGTTAAGCAACTAGCAACAGTTGGGTGGGCCTGAAAGTTGGGTGGGCCTGAAAGTTGGGTGGGCAGGGCCTCAGAGAATCACCAGGGTGGGGCAACCAGTATGTGCCAAGTTGCTGGAATCCCAGATATGGCAGCTGTCTGCCACCCCAGGGAAGGACTCACCAAAGGAACAAAGGCTTCTGACAGCACGTTTGTCCCAGAGAAAGCCCCTTCTCCAGCCCTTGCTCCAATGCCAAACAGCTCAGTTCTTCCCTGTATGTCTCTGGTGCCCCTTGAGCCACCTCCCGTCCAAGCTTAGAGGGAGAGAGTCCGATAAGTCCGTTCGCAGGCCCTTTAAGAGGAGCTGCCTGGGACTCCAGCTGCCTCAGCCTCCCTGAGCCTCAGTTCCCGCTGGTTTTTCCAGCCCGAAGTTATGGGGATTCTTTTCCTGGCACTGGAACCCTGAGTGGGGTACCTGGTGTGGGACGGGGACCCCTCAGTCCTTAGGGAGGACCTTCCCAGCCGGGGTGTCCTCCTGATTTTTATTTGCCACACGTGGGTGTGGGACCAGCCATCCGCCTCTGCCCGTCTGCCTCCGCTCCTCCTACCAGTCTCCATGCGGCTGCTTCTTTAATTTCGTAGTTGTAGGACTTCCATTCAGCTTGATTTCAGGAGGTTTTGAATGATGGTTGTTCTGTAGTTCATTTGTAACTTTGATGTGGTTGTGGGAGGACGCGAACCGCGTTTGCCTATGCTGCCATCTTGACTGAAAAAGGATAAGCATATTATCCTTTGTCCACTGGACTGAGGCTGGATCTTGTCCCCACTTGCCAGCCCAGCTGGGATGTTGGTACAGCCAGGTAGATTCAAATATACATTTCTGCCTAGTACTTTTGCCATCTGAGAAAAGGAAGACCCAGGATGTGGTAAATTGGGTTTCCTTTTCTTGTCCTTGTCACATCTATTTCCAGAGGTTGTGTCCTCAGTGACATGAGCCAGCACTTCATCAGAGTCTCCACAGTGCCTTCTGGACAATGGTGGCATATTTTTCCATTTTTCCTACACATTTCTTTTTAAAGTTTCAGCTTTTATTAAAATATTGTTGATTTAGATTCTTCTGCCTGTCCATCCCCCAGGGCCCATGGCCAGGTGATCCATCTCAGTCCAGGAGCAGGGTCATGCTGACAGTTTCTGCTTTCCCACAGATCCATACCCTGGGGTACTGCTGCCAACTGGTTGGTGGGATCCTGGTGGAACAATATCCAGCCAGGTCAGAAGTGGGGACACGCTTACTGGTACTGTCCTCCCAACTCAGCTGCTGTAGGACCGTCCTTTGACTCTTTGATGACTTGGCCATGTTTATGTACACTAAGCAGTATGGCCTGGGGTCAGAGGTAATGGGGTACAGGGCTGTAGGGACTTGTTTAAAGGCAACTGCATGGGCAGTTTATTTTTTTAATTTTACTTTCTTTTTTGAGATGATAAGAGGTTCTCATTTTAACATAAATTTAAAAAATATCTAATATGTTCACACATTCCTAGACTGTATAATTTAAAAGTCTCTTTTTCCCGATCCTCCCAGTCCCCAGTTTTTTTTCCTTGAAGGCATCCACTGTTGTCAGCTTCTTGTATTTCCTTCCTGAGATCTCATGTACCCCCACAGGCAAATACACAATTTTTATGTAAATAGTTGTGTGCCACTGCCACTCTTTGGCCACTTGCTTTTTCCACTTACTAGTACAACTTGGAGGGCATTCCATATCAGTCCAAAAAGAGTTCCTCCCTTTTTTATGGCCATATATGTAGTATTCTGTTATGTAGCTCGACAGTGATTTATTTAACCAATCCCGTGCTGATGGACATGTAGATTATTTATAATATTTTGCTGGTTTAGCAGTACTGCATTATTCCACATGAGTGCCTGTAGATCTGTGCTCCTTACTAGGGAGCAAACTTGCCCCCCCTCCCCGGGGACATTTCCTCAGGGAATGGGCTGAGAAGTTGCCTTGCCCATTCCCCCTGCCCTTCCATGGGCCCCCTGAGCTGCTGGATGCTCAGATGCCCCCGTTTTGCCCCAGTGTCCATGGCCTGATCATCCCAAATATCAAATTTTTCCTTGGACCCTCCTCCAGTTTTGACACCCATCTCCTATCCTCTTATTAGGTTAGGGCATACTTCCTGTACATCCTAGTAGGATCCCCAAACATCTCTGCAATTTTCCTTAGTCCCAGGCCAGGGGTGGGGGCCCCTGTACCTCCTATATCCTTTGGCCAGAACAAAAGCCCCTTTTGTTGGTCTGTTGTTTGTGTTGGTCTCCCCTGCCCTGTGAGCATCTCCTCCCTGCACAGGTGTGGGGCCTTGCCTGATTGAAGGCCTTGAGGGGGCAGGGACCAGGAATGCAGCCCTAAGGGCAGCCTCAACTGGCCCTGCCTGGTTGGGTGCAGGTGGTGTGGTTCAGAACTCAGGGTTGGAGGGCAGGGGTACAATGTGGAATGTTGAACCCATGAAGGTTCTGCAGTTTGATGGCCGGAGGCCTGTCCCTATGAGATGGGGCAGGGGGCAGCTTACCCTAAGCACTTCAGTTTGCCTGTTTGCCAGGATGGTGACCACTCCTCTTTGGTTTGGGAGAGATGACCCAAGTCATGCAGCCTGGTGTTACCACCCCACCCAGCTCTGCCTCATCAGGTTTCTCTGTGGGGCTGCCTGCCCTGCTTCCCTGTCAGGGTCCTATGCCAGAGGGCCTGGCCTGGAGACCCCTTGGCTAGGACCTGGAAGCCTGTGGCAGGACAGAAAGGCTCTGAGGTAGGGCATCCCAAGTCATAGTATATGTGAATCATCTGGAAACTTTAAAAAATTTAAGGTTTTATTTTGGGCATGGCCTGGGCCCTTAAGCAGTGGGTAGGTCTGACCCCATGGCCATCCCCCGCCCCTCCTGGTCCTGCAGGAGGGGGACATGTTGGTCCAATGTGTGTCTGTCCTGGGCAACCTGGCTGATCAGCTATACTACCCCTGCGAGCACATCGCCTGGGCTGCTGATACCAAGATCCTCCACATGGACTCTGCCCGGTGGTGGATGCTGAGCATGATTTTCTGGGGCCTCTCCCTGCTTCTGGGGATTGCCAAGTAAGCATTGTCACTGTTCCCAGCAGGTTAGAAGGGAACACTTAAGATCTCTGGTCCATTTGGCAGACAGCAGACAGGCTGGAATAGTATGGGTCTTTGTTGCTCCTGCTTTTCCTCCTCTTGTTTTTTTTTTTTTGCATTTATCTTCAGATAGAGTGGGAGGGAGAGAGGGAGGAAGAGAGAGAGAGAAACATCAATGTGAGAGAGACACATTGATGGTTGCCACCTACACGACCCGACCCCAACTGGGGCTGGGGACACACTGCAACCAAGGTACATGCCCTTAGCGAGAACCGAACCCGGGACTCTCTGGTTCGCGGGCCAACGCTCTAAGCGCTGAGCCAAACTGGCCAGGGCATTTCCTCCTCTTGTTGCCACCCTACTGTACACATCACTTATCACAGCACCACAGACTTGGCTTTAAAAAACACAAATTGATCATCTTACAGTTCTGGAGGTCAGAAGTCCAAAATGGGTCTCACTGGGCTAAAATCAATGTTTCTGGAGGCTTCAGGGGAGAATGTGTTCCCTGCCTTTTCCAGTTTCTAGAATTCCTTCCTGCATTCCTTAACCCAGTGTCCCTTCCTCTCTGTCTTTGAAGCACATTACTCTAGCCTCTCCTTCTGTTGTTGCATCTGCTTCTCTGACCCTCCTGTCTCCCTCTTATTAGGCTCACCTGGATAATCTTAAGACCCTTAACTCAGTCCCATCTGCAAAGTCCAAAGTTCATATAAGGGAACACATTCATGGATCCTGGAGATTAGAACGTGAGCATTCTTGGAGATTGTGCCCACTGGACTGAAGAAGAAATAACTTAGTGGCCTGGACAGAAGTGGCTGCTGTGGCTGCCTTTACTTGGGTCCCTGAGTCCTGCTTGCACTGTCATCAGCAAACATCTCCAGATAGAGAACACCCAGGAGTTTCCTGGCTGGCTCTATGCTTCCAAAAACTGTGAGGTTTCTAAAACTTTAAAATAATGGTTTCCTCCCAAACATTTTCTTCTTTGCAAATTTGCTGAGTGGGTTTGTTCAGTCCCTCACCCCAGAAAGCACAGGGGGTGAAGGACCTCCTGTTGCAGAATTTCATGCAGCAAAGGTCTCTTGGATCCCACAAGGGAGGTGGGTGACCCTTGACCTTGAGGGTTGGGTGGAGGTAGGCACTGTCCACTTCTGCTATCACTTGTCCTTGGGCTAGACACTGACAGTTATCTCAGTCTGGAAAATGAACGAACCCAAAGTGGAAGATTCAAATCACCCACAATCCAGAGATTCCCACTTTATATTCTGATGACTCTTCTACCCTTTAACCTTACACACTTTGGACACATTTTTACTTGCTCTGGTCTCCCTGTTTCATGGACGGTGCTTTTTCTTGATTTGAGCTCTCCTCATGTTCATGGTCACTATGTCTGTTGACTTTCCTGTGTGCTTGGGAACTCCGATAGGTCTGGGCTGGGCTCTGGATACTCCTGAGGCTTCCAAGGGGCCTTGTGATCTCTGGTACCAAGAGATCTACCACTCCTGTTTTAGGGGAAGCCTTGATTTAATTTATTTTAAAAAACAGACTTTATGCCCTGGCCAGTTTGGCTCAGCAGTTAGAGTGTCGGCCTGTGGTCCAGAGAGACCCACGTTCAGTTCCTGCTAAGGGCACGTACCTCGGTTGCAGTTTGTCCCCGGCCCTCGTTGGGTCGTGCGGGTTGTGTTCCTTTTACATTGATGTTTCTCTCTCTCTCTCCCTCTCACTCTATCTGAACAAAAAATGGAAAAATATCCTCATAAGGATAAAAAAACAACAACAGACTTTATATTTAAGAACAATTTTAGGTTCACAGCATAACTGAGCGAGAGTAGAGTTCCCATCCCCTGCTCCCCATGCACAGGCTTTCCCACTGTCAAAATGGTATGAGAGTGGGACATTTGTTACAACTGATGAACCTACACTGACATGTCATCATCACCCCAAGTTCATGATCTATGTTAGGGGTCACTGTTGCCCATTTCCTGGGTTTCAATAAATGTAACATGACTTAAACCCACCATCCACCACTACAGTATCACACAGAGCAGTTTCACAGCCCTGAAAATCCCATACTCTATGATTCCACTCATTTTTAGAGCATGTTGTTTTTCCATTTCTCTCTATTTGATGTTAGCAAGGGTGAGGGGGTGTGGAGTGTGCTCTTCATGACCAGGTGTCCTTAAGACCCCAGGATGCCAGACAGACACGTGGAAGGTTGCTGGAATGCAGATGTCTGGGGCCAGGTACCTAGAAGTTCTGATTCCACTGGTCTGGGGACCCAGGACCCAAGACTTGGTGTTTTGCCTTAGTCCTCCATGTGGCTTCATGCAGATCCACTTATCTCATTGAGGTGCTGCCTTGTGCCCCATACTTTCTGGGGACATGTCACATGGATGGGCACACAGTGGCTGGGGAGATGTGACCAGGACCTGGACCTCCCAATCATGAAGTCTGGCTGTGGTCGGCCCTCCAACAGGCAGTGCTTAACACATTCTCTTACCTGCCCACCCCCAGCCCATGGTGCAGGGGCCAGGCAGGGTAATCTGGGTGGGCACTCTAAAGGGCCTGAGAGTCCTGAGGGAGCATTAGAGGCTGCCCACCTACTGGCTTACAGATGCCAGCCCTAAGAGCCCAGAAAGTTGTCAGACTCACCTCACACAGGTTGGTTGGAGCCACTTATTGCAGAGCTCAGCACCCGTTATGAGTAACCTGTGGCCACCGTGGCAGGAGGCAGAGCCTCCCCTAAGGCCAGTGTTGGGGATCGAACCCCTGTACTCCCACCCTGCTTCTCTTGCCCCTCCCATCCTCTCTGTTGTTGCAGGTCCCTGTGGGTGGTCCTGAAGCTGAGACATCAGCTGAGGAGCCCTACAGTGGCCTTCACCAGGTATTTCTTCCAGAAGAAAGGCTGACTTTCCCTCCTACAAGTCCTAGGGTTTTTCCTGAGACCAGGGGAGGAAGGTGTTGAGGAGGGGGTGTTCTGAGTTGCCAGCAGTTAGCTCTGCCCCTGCACAAGGTCCATGCTGGGGTGTTGTGGCTGGATCATCAGGCCTCACAACAGCCTCCAGGTGGATGGTATGACTCTTACACATGGGGAAAATGAGGCTTGCTTGAAACAGCAGAGCCAGGACTCCAGGACTGAGCCATCATAGCCATGCACCCAGCAGAGAGCATAATAGGAAGAGTCAGTTTACTGAGAACCATAGTTAATGTCACTATTTCATCCTGGGAAAGGACTGTGCTTGGCTGGCATAGGCCTGGAACCTGCCCAAAGACCAATCCCCACCCCACCTCTCTGATTCCAGGGGGTTAGGAGGACTGAGATTTGGACTTGAGACTTTCCACAGAAGTCTGTGTCCTGTTCATGTGTGGGCTCCGTCGGGGGGTGGGGGGGAAGGGGGGTGACAAGGACTCCTTTTTGCTCACAGAGTCTATGGTCATTCCTTTTCCTGCCCGACTGACTCCTCTTTGATCCCACAGCCAGCTGTCCTGGAGCAAGCGGAGGGCCATGGAGGCCCAGATTCAGTCAGAGCTGTTGATTCTTCTGAGCAACCTGGCAGATCTGGCCGATGCTGTGCACTGGCTGCCTGCAGGTGTCCTCTGGGCAGGCCGCATCCCCCCGTGGCTGGTGGGCCTCCTGGGCACCATCTCCTCTCTCCTCAGTGTGTACCAGGCAGTCCGAACCAGTGGCTAGGCTGACACAGCCACATCCTGACATGGTCTGGTGGTGGGTGAACACAGCCGGGACCCCACTGGAGGACCACTCCCCATAGAGCAGAAATCACTTGGGCAAGGGTCTGGGTCTCTAACTGAGCAAATCAAGGCCATGTGAGGGGAGATGCAAACCAGAGGACACAGGGAGTGACCTGGGGTACAAACCCACAGTGGGGCAGGGGTAAAGTCCCCCAGGTGCTGAGGGTTGGGGTCTTTCCACTCAGGCCCCATCTCTTGGGGGGCGTATTTCTCAGGACCAGAGCAGAGGACCCCCAGCTCCCATGCAGAGCCTCACTTCCGTCCCTGACATTCTGTATTAGGATAAAGACAAGCAGGAAGGCATAATGGTATGTGCCAAGTGGGCCTTAGAAAAGGTGAAATAAGAATTAACCATGTGGTGCTGATCCTTTTTCCTAAACTCACCAGCTCTGTCCCCTCCTGTCTGCAGGTCACTCACTTCCATGCCCTCTCCTGCTGGTATGCCTTTATTTTAGGGGGGCATGAAGGTACCACCTCTGGATGTGGCAGCTTGTATGCTCTTGTTGTTTCTTATGGGACAGAGCTGCAGTGGGAAACTATACCTCCCAAGTTGTCTTCTGGAACATCTTTGGCCAGTCGGTCCTCTCTGGTGAAGGCTGCTTGGGGGCAGCAGGCTGTGCTGGCCACCCTTGAGTGGCCCTCACCCACAGATATCAGTTCTCTTTCCAGATGTTAGTTCACTCTCCTGTAGTCACAGATACCTTCCACCCATGCTGCCTCCTGCCAGGCCACACCCACATCACATACTTTTCTTCCTGGTCATTGTGAGGTAATTGTTGTGGCCAAAGTAGTTGACACTCAGCCACAGCTTCTACCAGGGCTGTCATCCATTCAGGGCCAGTCTGAGCATTTCATAGGTTCCTGGCTGGGGCTGAGCAGTGCAGACTGGTGTTTGAAGATGCCATGGCTGTTTCCAACCTCATGCAGATCATGGCAGGATGGGTGCATTTGTTTCTAGGCTGGTATTAGGCTGCATGTGTGTGTGGCACTGGTAGATGGTGGCCAGCCCATGCCTGCCAATCAATCTTAATGTCTTTGGACCACCCCCACCTCTTAGTCCCAGTGGGAAAGAGGGAATCAGGCTCTACCTTATGTCCACCAAGCACCTGGAAGATTCAACAAGACCTGTGTTTCAGTCCCTGAAGCCTCAAGTGATTTCAACCAGATCGTTCTTTTATGGGGAAGATAAGTGGCTGGGAACAGCTGGGGTGGAGGGCTGCTTTGGGTAACATGGGATTCAGAAGAAACCCCACCTTGCCACTGGCCTAGTCTCCCCTTCCCTATTGCAAGATGGGGTGGGGGTGGGGCACATTGGCATATGGCAGTGCCCAGGGAACCAGCGAATTAGGGTGGGAGTCAGAGCAGCACTTGCCTGCCTGTCTGGAGACTCGGAGTTAATACCTGTAAGTGCAGCATGTCTGGGGAAGCCCTGTGAACACCTGGATTTGTGACCCATTATGTCACAGGTACCTCAAAAGGCTGGCATCCCTGTGGACCTGGGTAGAGCCAGGTCTCAGGGCTCTGGCTGCAGCTTCCAAGCAGTCAGGGCTAGCCAGGTGTCAGTTTTGGGACCACAGCTGGGCAGGTGAGATGACCCTGCCTGCAGTGTGGCCACATGCCCCTGCCCACTGCCCTTCTTGGGCCAGCAGCTTAGCCTCTTCAGCTTGACTGGTCCTAGGAGTGTGTCTGGCAAACTCTTGGCTCAGGCAGCAGGAAGCTGACATCCTAGGACCACAGGGATAGGAAGGGACCCAGAAAGTGTGGGAGGGCTTGATGTCATTCCCCAAAAATCTACTCCTGGGTCTTCTGCCTCTAGCTTTGAATGTCCAAACATAATCATCTGGGGATTCCTCAGAGGGAACCAGAACAAGCTAAAGGGCCCAAGCTCCTCTGTGGTTTCCTGATGGATCCCTTCACTCACCACAGGCATGGGGTACAGGCAGCTGGTTACAGCAGGTGCTGAGGCAATTTCACTTGCCTAGGGGTGTCCTCATTCCCTTGCATTCCCCACCCCAGCTTCAGGGAAGTGACAGTAGATGAGGGGGCTCCTATGGTGCTAGGCCCAATGGGAGGGATGAGACATCACACCCTGGTTCTCAGGATCCTGCAAGGCCCTGGATCTGGTGTCCAGGCCTCCCTAAGATCCTATTGCAGCAGATGGTCTGAAGGGCCCTGCCTGATGAGGTGAGCCTTGGGGAGCCCCTACCAATACAGCATGATCCTATAACACACCTTGAAGAACAGCCACTACTATCAGCTCATCTTAAGACATTTTTATTGCCAGAATCAGGTTTTAAGTTCTAAGGTAGTTCTGAAACATCCTGCATGAGGAAATGCTACAATAATAATAATCATTGGGTGGTCTAAGATAATGTCAAAATTACTGAAGATGTGCAGAGATCCCATTGGAATAACATCTGCTTGGCCACCAACTTTACAAATAAAGTTGGGCCCTACCCAGAAGTGACTGCAGGGTACTGGTCAGACATAATGTGCCAAAGACTTGTGCCACTGTGTGGAATGACTGGAGACCCCCTCAGCTGAGAGGCGGTGTCCATTCCCATCACATGGCTGAGGGGAATCCTTTGGACTTATCGCCGGAGGAACTGTGGTGTCTGAGGCACGGAATGTTTTCTTCACAAAAGAACAGGAAGTAGAATTTTCTAAAGTGCTCTGGTTTGTCTCAGTACAAAACAACAAAACACTAGTTACAGACACAGCATAGATGAGCTCTGATGTGTCACAGAATGGAGGAGGATACTTCTCTTTGGTCCTTGCTGACGCCAGTCCCGTAGGCAAAGTTGAGAGTAGGGGGAGAGGTTCTTGGAGGGGCCAGTGGGGGGCTGTGCTTGGGTGTGGAACTGCTGCTTTCAGTTCCTTGTCAATGACTGGCTGTGTCACCTTGACCCTACAGTGCCCCAATTCCTGGGTAGTCTAGGACCCAGTCCTCTTGCCAATGCTTTGGGAGGTGCTTGGCTCTGGGGCCAGTGCAGGGAGCCTGGGATGCAGAAAAATTATGTAATGTCCCCTTTCCTGCACCAGCACTCAAGCTTGAGTTTGATCAGAGGTAGAACACAGATCTGACCCAATCACCACCCCTGGATATGTGACACCATCCCCAACATCTACAGCCATTCAGGTGGACTGGTGGCCCTTGACTTCCTCTAGGGGCAAGTTGACAATCAGCTACAGTAACTCACTGGATGCAAGATGCCTGTAAGGTGGCCACTTATACATTGGAGGTCTCCAGGCCGTGTGATCCCTCTAGCATTTTACCCACATCAGCAGCCCCACCTCTCTGCTCCATGTTGTACCAGCATCAGCCCATCAGCATCAGACACCAGCCCTAGGGGCTCCCTCCTGGAGGCCCTGGGAAAACCAGCCCATCTTATGGGGACTAAGGCCAGGACTTTGGGTTGTGCTGACCCTGGCTGAACCCATAGGCTGAGCACTGAATTTGACTAGAGCAGGTTTTTAAAAAACCCCACCAAATTAAAATGAGTTAACAGTCAGACCCTTTCAAGATGAGCTTCTGACCTTAAAGAATTACCCTTGAGTGCCATTGGCCATCCTTTCTAGACAATCTGCCCTGTGGTTCCTCTGTCCTTGGTGAGCTGAGTGCCACCCTTCTCTTGTCCATGCCCTGGCCTTGAGGTTCACCATGAACCCATGTAGATCTCTGCTTTGATTCTGCCAAGAAGAAACAGCTGACACCACCCTGTCCCTTCTGATGCCCTAATGATACAGTACAGCTGCAGTGTTTCCTAATGGCTGGCACCTTCTCCTGAGACTAGGGTCTGGCCTATAATCAGGCTCCATGTAGAGAACCACCAGTTAGTCACTACCTTGGAAAAATTGCTTGGAGTCTATCTCTCCCTGCCAAAATGGGGTGCTACAATTTAGCTCCTTGGGTTAGCTCTGGTTCAACCTTCAACTGAAAACATTCTTTTTTGTATTAAAAAAAAAAAAAAGGCATCACTGTTAATCCTACAGAAAGAGCCTGGAGATGATAGGTGGGCCCTCACCCCAACCTTGGCCAGGCAGTCATCCATGGAGGTGTGCTGGGCAGGGAAGAGGGAGAGCTGGCAATTCCCCAGAGAATGCAGGGGGCACACAGGACAGGGAGGGTTCTGCACCCCAAGCCACACTGCCCCTAGAAGAAGATGACGTCTTCCTTGCTCACTTCTTCCTTGTTGAGTGGTGTAAGGGGCTGTGGCATGGGCAGGAGGGGGAAGTACTCAGGGGGTATGTCAGCTGGGGCTGGGCCTGGAGCCTGGTAGGAGAGGTCTGGAAGACAGAAGGGTACGTGGTGTCAGCAGCCAACAGGTATGGTGGGTGGTCCTGCCGCTTGGGTGGCTGTACTCACCTGGGGGAACTGCCACAGTGTGGCTGCCTAGCTGTACAGGACTCAGTGAGCAGTGGTTCCGAGAGGCATACTCGTCCTTGCCCATGAGCTTATTGAAAAGTAGCTGCTGTTTCAGGTCGAACGAGGCTGATAAAGGGAAGAGGGTGCAGCCTGGGGTGCTTGGCCTCGTTCCAGGCACACAGCAGCCCCCCACCTCTAGCAGCCCCCCCCACTCCTTAGCACATCCCACGGCACCTGTTCCAGGGGTTGAACCCTGCTGAGACAGTAAGCTCCACATGTAGTGACACAAAAACGGGGAGAACAGCCCCCAACCAACCCCAGAAAGCCCCTGGAATAAGCCAATCTCTGGACCCAGTCGTCCTGGGACATAGGCCCTGTTCCTGAGGAGTGTCCCAGGAAGGGCTCCCCTCACAGTACCCAAGGGAACCCCAGAACTTGACTGGAGACACACCCACTGCAGGGTGCTCTGGGGCAAGGGCCTAGTGTCCCCTATGTGGAAGGAGGACACTGGATAGAGCCCCTGGCACTTAGGTCAGCACCAAGTATGGGCTGTGTAGGGAGCTCTAGCATCAGTCACCAGTGTTGTCTCCAAGTGACTAGGGTGCTCTGACCCCTTGCCTCTGGTGACCACCTCTAAGGGTCTCCCAGGTCCCTTCTCTCTGAATTGTCAAGACACTCCCTTGCCTCTGTTCCAGTTTGAGAACTGAGGTGGGAAAAGGACCTGGGGTCTGTCATGTCAATATTGATTCTTCAGATGAAAAACCTCCACATGGGGAGTTGGGGAGGGGCCTCATCTATGTTGCCAGCTGTGTCTTCTGGTTTTCTTCCAGCATCTCTACAGGATGGCCCTGGGGTCCTGTTGTTCACCTACCAGGAGCTTCTTTGGTATCACAATTGCTCATGATTGGATCTCCCATTTAGGTTGAGGCTGGGAAGTCACCCACATCCCATAGATCACCCATTCCTGAAGACTTAGCTTGGCTCCACCCCACCCACACCTTGGCCCCAAGCACAGAACTCACCAGAACTCTCACTGCGCTGGGAGCCCCTGCTCTTGCCACCCTTGTCCTTGCTGCCCTTGGTGAAGGCAGCCAGCTTGGTGGGGATCTGCTGCTGTACGGCTGCTTGCCTCTGGATCTGGTTGGTGGCACTGAGCAGCTGGATAGGCACATCACTCTTGGCTGGCCGGTTCTCAGCTGGGGTGCTGTCCCTGCGAGCCACCTCGGGGCACTCGGGCCCTTCTAGCCCTTCCCCATTGAAGCTGGGTGGGCGGCTTGGGGACTGAATCTGAAAGAGTGACAGAAGACACATCCCAATGACTGTTCCTCCTGGAAACCCTTCTTGGGATGGACAGGGTGGTGCTCTCCTCAGCACCACCCACCTTGATCCTGGGCCAGGGTTTCACAGCCTCTTAGTTGGAGAGGGTCTGATCTGGGAGCAGAACCTCATGCTGGGCCAGTGGAGCTGCCATTCACTCCCCATCCTCCCCAAGATATACTCACCATGCTCACAGCCCCAACATGTGCACTTGCATGGTTACATTGACATTCCCTCTTCCACCAGTACGTTCCCAAATGCACTTTTATAATCTGCCCACACCTGCAGGCTGCACTCTCCCTTGCTAACCTCTTTGGGCAGCTCCGGTGGCAGTGCCCCGGGCACTGTGTTCTGCTTCTTAAGCCTCCGCAGCAGCTCAAGCCGCTCGCGCTCACGCTGCACGGTGCGCTGGGCCTCGCGAAGCCGTTCCAGGTCATGCTGGTAAGCCTGGCGCTGCTGCTCCAGCTCAGTGCGCTCTTGGGTCAGCCACTCCTGTAGCCGCGCTGCCTCGCTCTGGCGTTGCTGTAGGTGGGCTGAGGCTAGGTCCAGCTCCTGCTGCTGGTGCTCCCGTTGGCGCTCCCAGCGCTGCTGCTCCAGCCGCAGTTGCCTCTGCAGCTTCTGCACGCCCACCAGCTCTTCTCGTTGCTTCTCAAAGTTGCGCTGCCGCTCCTGCTCCAGCAGCAGGCTCCCGCGTGTCGACTGCAGCCGGAACTGCTTCTCGCGTTCCTGGATAGAGGCTCTCTGCAGCTCCACGTAGCTGTCCTGCTGAGTGATGACCGCCTGGGGGAAGTGAACCCATGAGGGGCCATGTCCTCTCCCAGATCCCAACCTCAAACAGGAAAAGGACAGTGCAGCCTGTCACTGCCCACCAAGCCCTGTACCTGGAGGCTGAGGAGCAGCTGGGATAGTGTCTGGATTCGCTGGACAAGCTGTGGAGAGAGAGGTTGCTGGCTTTCTGCCCGAAGCCCTAATGGTGTGCATGCCAGTCCCTGGGGAGACAGATAAGCCCTGAACCTACCTCCAACTCCAGGACAGTGGGCAGATTGGGGCCAGACTCAGTGCCTGATGCCTCCACCTGTGGAAACAATGTCAAAGCACAGAGAAGCTATAGAAGCGAGCCAGATCCAATCATTATTGATGAGATTCTGTCTTAGTATGGGACAGGTCCTGCGTAGTTGTTTGGAAAAATGAGGGTGCAGAGTGGCTCCAGGAGGTGGGAGAGCAACTGCTGTGGGCCCACCATGCAGAAGGGTTTGAGGTGAAGTGGGCCTGGCCATGGCACTTGCCAGATGAAGCTGGCCTTGAATTCTGAGCATACCGCCTGACCCTGCTCTCACCCTGATGCTTGGCAAGGGTAGGCCTTCTGAGCTGAAGGGGAGGGAGCAGCCAGCATGACTTTGGCATCTGTGGTTGTGAGGACACTAAAAGCTCATGGTCCCCACATGGTGTTTCTCACCCGTGGAAGGAGGCCATGGCTCCTGCCCTGAGTTAGTCCCCTCCCTGGCCTCCCACCATTGCTGACGCCTGCAGGAAGAAACATGGAGGTTCACTTGCCTACATGTTAGCCTGAATGAAACATTACTATTCACCATGAAACAAATGGCACACGTCACTATTTGCTGTAAGATGGAAAGAATAGACATAGGCTGTTTACACTTGCTAACAGTAGAACTTGGGCCGACTCTGTACTGAGCTCAGGACTGTCCCAAGGAAGCAACATACCATCCATGGTGCTTCTTCAGAGGCCCCTGGGGTGTTGCCAAGCTTCACATCTGGACTGCTCACAGGGTCTTGCCAGTCTTGGGGGCTTAGGTCATTGCTACACATCTTCTTCCTAAAGCTGTCATCTAAAAACCCCAAGCCAGGAACATGAGGATGCTTGGGGTTCTGCAGAGGTCTAGAAACCCCAACCCAGCCCAGATAAAACATTGTGGCTAGGCTGCTGCCTTAGGCCCTGTGCCAATATGGTGGCATTTGTGGCACAGAGATCAGTAGGAGCAGGTCTTGGTGTGGTCAAAACATGACCAACAACATGTGAAAGGTCCTAGAACCCTGACCACTGAAAGTTTACAGATGTCGACAGGAAGTAGAAGAGATGCCAAATAGCAAATGCCTGGCTTTGCTAAGGATGTGTGCCAAGGAAACATCTGAAGAAACTGAACCTCCTGCTGCTACTGACCTTCTCGAGGGCCCCAGAAGCCCCAGCCCTTGGGGGAGGAAGCACTACTCACTCTTGCCAGGGACACTGGCACTGTTATAGCCTCCAAAGGTCTCTGTCCTCTGGCACAGGCCCGTAGAGGCACCGCCATCTTCTGCCTGGCCATTGGTACTGCCCAGTCTCCTGCAGATCAGGCTCTGGATGTCCTTAACTGTGGAAGGAGACAGGAGGAACCCAGTCACTCTGTGGAGCCACACTGTAAGCATCAGGATATGGTGGAGGACCAGGGCAGAGGACTGTGGGGGACTTCAGCCCCACTGATTCTGCACACTCCCTGCAAAGGTACTCTGACCAAGACAGGCCAATTCGTGTCTAAAGGAGAGACCAGCCCATGGGGCAGCATGTGGATGGGGCTGTGCTGGACCCTGGGCCTTAGGGTGTGCTGGGTCCAGTAGGGAACTGTAGGGTTGCTGCTAATGTGATGACAGTCCTACAGAATGTTGGGGACCAGAGGAGGGTGAATTTGGGGACAGGGCTGGTCACACAAGGTGCTCTAGGACAAATAGGCTTTGGCCAGGTGAGGATGTTGGGAGAACATTCCAGGCCAAGGTACAGGACATGAGAGGACCTCATGGGGCCAAGAACAATAGCCATTGGAGAAATGGGAGGAAGGAGAACATTGTTATGGCTGGGGAAGCAAGATTGAGTGGGGGCAGAATCCACATGGGACTTCTCTGCTCTGTTATCTTTTATACTGTGAAGGTGAGATACTATGTCTATCTTTGTTGTTGAAAGACTGGTACAGGCTGTCCTTTTACGTGTCCTGGCCAGCAGGGGGCTCAGTAGCTGTGGCAGCTACCAGAGTCTCTGGCGTGGACCTTGACTGCTCCATGAAGCAGGCCTGGGCAGGGTACACAGAGGAGCAGGCCACCTATCAGCCAGTGCCTTCCCATGGCTGTTGGTGCATCCTCTCACTAGACCCTGAGCCAGCTCCTAGGAGGGCTGCTGGGCCCAGGAGCCCTTGGGAATGACCCACTAATGTGTATGTGTGCATTTTTCTGGATATATCACCAGAGACCCACTACTCAGAAAGAAGACTAACCTCTTGAATGTGGGGAACTCAGTCGACTTCAGATCCCTGAGGCCCAGAACAGTGTCTTACATGTGACAGGCATGAGGAAGTTTGTCAAATGTGTGAGAACATCGTTTGAGTCTGCAACCAAAGGTTTGCACGGGGGTCGTGTCTAATGACCCTCTGGCTCTAACAGGTGCTGGTGGGGGTTAACGCTGCTCTAAGCACACAGCTGCCCAGCCAGATAAAAGTGTACCCCGGAGATGGTGGCAAATCAGCCACACTGGGTCATGTGCCCAGCCTGTGGTTCCCCAAGGAGGCCACCTGGGTGGAACAAGTGCTCGAGAGCAAGGCACTGCCCCATGAGGACCCTGGGGCAAGGCTACTTACTCTCAGTCATGGCTGACTTGAGGATCAGCTCCCCCTGCAGGTTCTCTGAGAGGTCCCCTCCTCGGAAGAGGAGGCGTGACTGAGCCAAATCTTCCAGTCCACTCATCTCGGCCATCTCCAGGTAGATCTGCTGCTTTTCTCTGAGGCTCTGTGCAATCTGCTGGTCTTTCATGTTCAGTCGTTCTGCAAAGCCATGTAGATGGATGTGGCAGTCAGGCTCTCTGGGATTGTTCCCTAAGAGTCAGCAGTGCGGGGCCTCACAGAATAGGGCTGGCCTCTGGGGACCCCTGCTCCCACCTCACCCGAGGGTAGACTGCTCCCTCCATCCAACCTTTCTGAGGCAGTGAGGGCCTGGCCCTACCTCTGATCACTTCCCACAATTACAAATATCAAACACAGCAGGGTATGGTGAAACCATTTATAGGCCAATTTATCAATTTGGGACAAACTGAGAGCATTGTAAAACTTAGTTGTCTAATCCTGAAAGTCCACCTTCAGGCATTTAGGTCAAATTCCTTCTTACAAGCCCTCCTGTTTTATATTTTTATGGCTGCTGCGACTTTGACTTATTTTATTAGACTTCCTCACTGGTGATTGTTAGTAACATCTACATCACGTTCAGATAAACATATGACTCTATTATCAGTTCCAGTCATTGTCTAGTTGATTCTATTATGTTTTATAAGCAAATAAACACATCACATGCAAAAACATAATTCTGTTGCCTACTTTCCAATCATATCTTACTTTAATCTCTCCCAATATTACCCTGGCTGGGACTTCCAAGATGAAGATGATAATGAAGAGTGGATGGCCCTGCCTGGCTCCTGTTTTCTTTTTTTAAAGTCTCATCAGAGGATGTTTTTATTGATCTTAGAGAGAGAGGAAGGGAGAGAGAGAAACATCGGTATGTGCTCTAACTGGGAATCGAACCCACAACCTTTTGATGTATGCGACGATGCTCCAACCAACTGGGCCATCTGGCCAGGGCTGGCTCCTGGTTTTGATAGGAATGTCCCTGATGTTCCAAAGTTAAGGGTGAGTTCAACTTTTGATTCAATATAGGAAAGAATATCTTGATAAAAAAATATTTTTGTATTCCTAATTCACTAAGATCTTGGGAATGTAGATCCTTTCATTAGCATTGGAGGAAATGATGAGTTAGAATGAAATGAAATGAATACTATGTTAGGATTATACTTCCAAGGTCCAGTGGGATTTCTTTCCCTTTCTTTTGGATATTTAAAAAATTAATTAATACCTTTAAAGGTGCATCTCCCCACAAAGATAAATAAAATATATACTACCTAATTTTATATACTTATTGCTTAAATGTTACCTATTTTAAAATAATGCACTTAGTGAGAGTGAAGAGGGAAGTTGATTGAGATCAGAGAATTGTTCTTGGCAATGACCTTGCTGAAATCTCAGGAATCTGTTGAAACTGAGAGGAGAATAAATAAGCACAATGTGTCACATTCACACAGTGGAATATTAATTGTAAAAAGGATGGAAATTCTGACAACTGCTGCAATGTGATGGACCTTGAAAATATGCTAAGTGGCCCTGGCCAGTTTGGCTCAGTGGTTAGAGCGTTGGCCTGCGGTCCAGAGAGACCCAGGTTCGGTTCCCGCTAAGGGCATGTACCTTGGTTGCAGTTTGTCCCCGGCCCTGGATGGGTCATGCGGGTGGCAACCACTTGATGTGTCCCTTTCACATTGATGTTTCTCTCTCTCTCCCTCCCACTCTATCTGAACAAAAAATGGAAAAATGTCCTCGGGTGAGGATTAAAAAAAAAAGAAGAAGAAGAAAATATGCTAAGTGAAGTAAGCAAGATGCAAAAGGACAAATGTTTCATAACTCCATCTATACAGTCCTTGGAATAGCCAAATTCATAGACAGTCAACTAGAAGTTACCAGCAGCTGGGGGAGGAAGGAACAGGAGTAACTGCTAACAGGGACAGGGTTTCTTTTGGGGTGATAAAAGTGATCTAAAATTGATTGTGGTGATGGTTGTGATACTGTGATAAAAGCTACTGCATGGGACACTTTAAATGGGTGAACTGTATGGTGTGAGGATTATATCTCAATAAACTAGCTGAAAAATTAAAACAGGGAGAAGAAAACCAAGGGCTGGTCTGGGTTTGTCTGGCTATCAAAGGAGGCTGTGGGGTCGGTTCTGTGCTATAGTGCCCCTGTGTGAGTCTTTTTTTTTTTTCTTAATCCTCACCGGAGGACATTTTCTCATTTTTTGTTCAGGTAGAGTGGGAGGGAGAGAGAGGAACAGAGAGAGAGAGAGAGAAACATTGATATGAAAGGGACACATCGAGTGGCTGCCACCCGCACAACCAACCAGGGCCGGGGACAAACTGCAACCGAGGTACGCGCCCTTAGCAGGAACTGAACCCGGGCCTCTCAGGACTGCAGGCCGACGCTCCAACCGCTGAGCCAAACAGGCCGGGGCCCTGTGTGAGTCTTTCATATGTTACCTGGGACACTCTTCCCTGAATGGGTTCTGTGGTAGGAGGCATTGTGAGTAGGAAAGCAATTGTGTTTGTAAGGGGCTCACGGATCCTGAGAGCCACTGTCTCTCTTTTTCATACACCCCTGGAAGGCCACTACTGCATCTCATGACAAAGAGCTGCTGCTCTCTGCAGAGCTCTAGACCATGAGGCAGTCCACAGCAAGACTCCAGTCACTTGTGCAGTGAATCTGCTCCATGGCCAATCCTAATGACACAGAACAGAAATGCCACTGGTGGACCCAGGGCCTACTGCCTAAGGAGAGCTCTGCATGGTTATGGCACCATCATTTAGGAGGCACATCTGTGGGCATGGAGGTCCAGACAACGCCCTCTTACCTTGGAAGTCCCTCAGCCTCATTGCGCGGGCCTCAATCACCTTCCTCTCCTCTTCGGCCTCACTGAAGGGCCCTTCCTCCTCATCTGGACAGCTGCAGGGAGAGGGGACAAATGGATGAGAATGCCTCACAAGCTGACTGGCCTCTGAAATGGGCACTAAGAGGTTTATCTGCAGAACTGGCTGCCAAAGTGTGTCTCATTTTGTGACAGATGTAGGAGAAGAAGAAAAGGGTAGAGAAAAATAACCATTAGCATTTATCTAGTCTCAGTGTTGGGATGTAACCAGCCACAGGTTTTATTTATTTATTTAAAATGTCTTTCCTGGCCGGTTTTGCTCAGCGGTTAGAGTGTCTGCCTGCGGTCCAGAGAGACCCGGGTTCGGTTTCTGCTAAGGGCATGTACCTTGGTTGCAATTTGTCCCCAACCCTGGTTGGTCATGTGGGTGGCAGCCACTCGATGTGTCCCTTTCACGTTGATGTTTCTCTCTCTCCCTCCCACTCTATCTGAACAAAAAATGGAAAAATGTCCTCAGTGAGGATTAAAAATAAATAAATAAATAAATAAATAAATAAATAAATAAATAAATAAATAAAAATAAATAAAATGCCTTGAAAGCCATGCCACAACTTTTTAAAAAAATCGTATTTATTGATTTTTAGAGAGGAGGGGAAGAGAGAGAGAGAGAGAGAGAGATCAATTTGTTATTCCAGTTATTTATGCATTCATTGGTTGATTCTTGTGTGTGCCCTGATTGGGATTCAAACCCACAACCTTGGTGTATTGGGACAATGCTCTAACCCAGTGAGCTACTTGGCCTGGGCCAGCCACTAGTTTTAAATGCCTGGCCACCACTTGGAGGAAGACATTAGGGACAGTTCATTTACTAGGGACCTGCCCAGGACTGGAGGCTGCAAGCCTAGTAGAGCTGAGGTTGAGGATGGAGGGAACTTCAAGCAGGTTAAGGCTTTGGAAAGTTTCCAGGCATAGAGAGAGGGGGCAGCAGGCTAGCTAGGTGTGGAGGCTTAGCCACCTTTTCCTGTCTGTTGGGTGGACTGGGAACCAGGCATCATACAGAGCCACAGAGCTGAGGTTCTAAAGGGTTCCCTGGCCCAAAGAGGAAGGACAGAATGCCATGACCTGCTCCAATAGGTCTGGTCCCATTACAGGGGTGGAGGGGTGCGGACATCCTGCATTTCAGGTGGAGTGTCCCACCAATATAGAAGTTAGAGCTGCCTGGCCCCATGTCCCCTGTCCAGAGACACTGGGGCCTTTTTAGCATCTGACAGGTTGAACCACTGTTGTAAGGAACTGCAATGGTGCCATCTGTCCCCTTTAAATAAAGGGATGGAAAAAGTACCAAGGTGGGAGAGGAAAAGCAAAGGGGTCTCCTGTCTGCCTGTGATTTCTGGTGCTCTCCTGGGCAGTTCAAGGTCACAGCCAATTTGCCAACCATCTAAGCCAAGGGGAAAATGGTCAGCAGAGGAAACACACATGCCCTGCTCACCTCTCAACAGCCCTTCGGATATGGGCCATCCAGGTGTTCCTCTCCTCTTTGGAACTGGTGTAAATCTCGTACATCTCAGGCCCTTGCAGGGAGGCACTGATCAGAAACATGGCTTTTTCCTCATTGGCTACTTCCCTCACAATAAGTTTTTGTAATGAGATGATGGGGTGCTTCGAGTCCTACATGGGTGGAACATGATGGGGAGGGTCATCTTTTACTCTACTGCAGGGTGCCCCATTTATTTTCAAACAATTCAAAGCAAAAATATTTTACCATCTGGGGAAAAGAGACACTATTGCAATGACATCCTTGTATCCTTTAATTTGTCTGTTTAATGTGCTGAAACAACTGTGTTTTATAATAAGTAATGCATGTACATAGTACAAAACTCAGAAGAAACAAGAGTAGATAGTATATAACACATAAATCTTTCTCCTGATCCTGTGTCCCAAACACCCAGAGCAGACTCAGGCTGTGTGTCCCATAAGATATAATGCTCCAATGGACCATTAAAATATACATTTTAAAAAAATCCTCACCCAACGTACTGGTCGGTTTGGCTCAGTGGTTAGAGTGTTGGCCCACGAATTGAAGAGTCATGGGTTCAATTCTGGTCAGGGGTACATGCCTCGGTTGTGGTCCATCCCTGGTCCTGGTCAGGGTCGTGCAGGGGGCAACCAGTCAATATGTCTCTCTCACATTGATATTTCTCTCTCTCGCTTGCTCTCCCACTTGCTCTCTCTCCCCCCTCCCCCCACTCCATCTGAAGTTAAATAGAAGAAATATCCTCAGGTGAGGATTAAAAAAATAAATAAGTAAAATCCTCACCCAAGGATACTTTTCCATTGATTTTTAGATAGAATAGAAGGGGGGGGGTGGAGACAGAGAGAGAGAGAAACATTGATGTGAGAAACATCAACTGGTTGCCTCCCATGTGACCCCGACCAGGGCAGGGGATCAAACCTGCAACCCAGCCCAGCCGGTGTGGCTCAATGGATTGATTGAGCATTCTCCCATGGACTGAGAGGTCCCAGTTCGATTTCTGGTAGGGGCACATGCCCGAGCTGTGGGCTCGATCCCCAGTTAGGGGCATGCAGGAGGCAGCTAATCGATGTTTCTCTCTCACATTGATGTTTCCATCTCTCTCTCCCTTCCTCTCTAAAAAAACCCAATAAAAATATTTAAAAAACAACAAAAAATCCCCCTGCAACCCAGGCATGTGCCCTTTACCAGGAATCAAACTTGTGACCCTTTGGTCTACAGGCTGATCTCTAACTGCTGAGCCAAACCAGCCAGGGCAAAATACACATTTTAAACTGGCTGTTATGGGCTGAATGATGTTCCTTTAAATCCATATGTTGAAGCCACCACCTCTAGCACTCAGATTGTGACTACTTGGAAATGGGCCTTTACATAGGTGATTAAGTTAAAATGAGATTATTAGGGTGGGCCCTGATTCAATCTGACTGGTGTCCTTATAAAAAGAGACAGTCACAGAGGGACAACCAGGTGAGGACACTAGGGAGCAGAGACACCAAACAGATTATGGCATCACATCACCCTCAAGGGAAGTCACAGACTTCACACACAAGACGATAGTTTGACAAAGCAGCTTGACCCCATTTGTGGTGCTGGGTAACCTCTTGAGAGGCTCTTAAATCTCTGGAAAAGGTACCTGATTTTATAGTTCAGTCATAGAGGCTGCCTTCCTCATCAAGTGAACCTGGAGGCAAATTGGTTCTTTGAATCCCTCAGTCAAGGACTGACACCCTCCCCTGCAGTGAGGTCTGCACTGTTAAACACTGAAGGACCCAGGGGTTACCCAGGCAAGCAGGGGAGGAAGCCAAGCCCCTGGTGGATATGGGCCAGGAGGGACGACTGGCATCCCAACCTGACTCCAAGTCCACCAGCTATGGGGAGTTCACAGCAGGCGTGGCTCGCACAACAAACATCTTCTGGGCTCAGCGTGCTATGGAATCAGCATGGTCATAACACAGGGTGGTGGCTGAGTGAGTTTGTGTTCTCATTGATGAGCCAACAAGTCCCTGGGAAGAATAGAGGGGATTTCCTGGCAAGGATGCTTGTGAGAATCTAAGGGCTTGTGACAGAAAGAACCACAGAACTACAGAAGGCTGAAACTACAGAAGATGCTAGCATGAGCCCTTGAAGGCTAGTCAGGCCAACTAGACAGAACTCCCATTCTCGGGAAATTCTACTCCCACCTTGCTGGAACCTTCTGGCCCTGGGGAGGACCTGGGACAACAGGTGACTTATAGATGGGTTTTCTAGCCACCTTGCTCTGTGCTATTTCTGTCTTGCTGATGCAGCCCCCTGCCACCCCTCTACCCAGTACCTTCTGCGTAGAAAGCTTTAAAGCAGCTCTTTGTGTAAAGAGAGGGACACATACCACAGAAGCAAAGACGTACTTCTGGTCCTTTTCTTGTAGCAGCAACAGAACATCGGTCAACAGGATAGCAAGGACATCTAAGGAGAGACAACAGGAGAAAATGTATGGGGTGACATGGAACCTCAGGAGGCCTTTGGTACCATGGGAAGGAGCCTGAGTCACTCTCAGCCCACAGCCATGATGCTTTTGCATGAGCCTAAGGGTTTCCTTTCTACCTCATGCCTTCCTACCACCTCCCTGGGTTTTAACATTTCTCCTGCTACACTGCCAGGCCCATGCCCTGACATCCCCTATTGTAACAGTGCCTGCTGAATCTGGTATTTGAGGTTCTCTCACTATGATTTCTCAAATGTGAACTCACTTTCCCACCCCATGTTCTATCTGCTCCCAGGCCACCCGGGACCTGGGCTGCTGGATGCTTGAATCTGCCTCCCACTGTAGTGATGCACTCTCATCCCCTATGCCCTTGAACTTCCTTCCAGATGGTAGCAAATGGGTGTCTTGTGCCTGTAGGTACATCTCACAGCCACCTGCACAGCAGAACTTTTACACTTGGGTGCAAATCCTGAATACATTTCCAACACGAGCACTCATGTCGTGGTCAATATTGTCTTCTCAGGGAGAATCAAACACCCTATCTCAATACAGAGACCCTCTCTTGGTGTAATTCTCTTGCATTGCAGCTTTCTGGCTTCCTCAAAAGGATTAACTGCACTTTTCACTATTTTTCTGTTTACTAGTTTCTCTCTCTGCCTGCTGACTGGAGGAGTCCCATGAGGGCAGGGGGCCTTCTACCACCTACCTTGGGGCCTAGCACACAGAGGCACTAAACTGTATCTATTGGATGCATGTCATGCAAAATATGAACAAACACATTGTGTTGTTTGACCACCCGAAGATTCTGCCACTCCTTTTAGGATCGTTATAGTTGATGATACCAGTGACAGGTCAGGATGCCTCCAGAGATTCATGAAATAGATAGGAAACTACAGCATGAGTCCTGAGTGCTCTCTGGTCTGGAACTGCACCGTGGATTTTGAATGTTGGGCTCAGAGCACATCCTGGGCAGTGACTGGGATGCTTAAGGACACTGAGGTTGGAAGTCTGGGTGGTGTTTTCTACTTATACTAAGCTTATTGGTGGTTGGGCCCACTGCAGGTGCACCCATTATAGCTTGTTTGGAGGAAACCCTGGGGTCTCAGGAAGCTTTGAGTTTCTATTCAGAAGTCAGTGAGTCTCCATGCCCTCCTAGTGTGCATCACACCATCTCAAACCCCTGAGGAAGAGGGTACTGGTGTGACTATCTCATTCTTACTACACTCCTGGCTGCCTGTATTCATCCTGACTCTGTATGCAACCTCCCTTCAGTCATGAAGCAGCCAGGCTACAGTGGCTCTGTGCCAGCTGGCACCGACCAACCCAAAATGGTGCTCACTGATCTAGAGGGATCCCCCCTCACTCCAAGGTGATGGCACCACTCCAAGATGGCAGCACCAATTCAAGAAGGTGGTATTAACCCAAGAAGGTGCCACCAATCTAAGATGGGAGCCACTATTCCTAGATGGTACCACTCAGGTAGAGGGTGCCTACCACTCTAGAATGGTGTCCCTTACTCCAAAATAATGCTCAGCATTCCAAGAAGGTACCATGGATTCTACATGGCACCATTCCAAGATAGTACTGCCACTGTGACATAGTGGCTAGGGGCAGGACTTTACCTTTCAAGCGCCCTGATGTAGTCTTCCAGCACAGTGTACCTTCCAGGTGGAGCTGCCGCTGCAGCATGTCCTCCTTGCGGAATGTCAGCCCATTCTTGAGCTTGCTGGAGGACTTCAGGTCCATCTTCCCTGTGATCTCTCTGAGGCGCTGGCCTTTTTCGCACTCGCTGACCTTGGCATCTACTTGTGAGATGATGTCTTTGACGAGGTTAAGGGCCTGGGTCAGGTCTTCGTAGTCCTTGCAGCCAGCTGCCACACACAGCAGAGTTAATGCTTTCTTTTGTCTGCATTCATGAACATGACAGAGGTGGACACACTATGGGGACTGTGAGGTGCTTCCCTGAGACCACTGCTTGGAGGATCTTCAAGAATCACCTCCCAACTTGAATTTCCCAAGACACAGATGCTTCTCCAAAATAAATGCAATACCTTCGCATTTGTTTTTTTACCAAGACAGAGTTTCTGTTGAATGCAGAAGCTAAGGTACAATTAACATGATAAAAACAGTCCTGCATAGCTGTTGGACACTCCTTGGTAAATAGACTCCCCTGTGCCCTCCAATTCTCCATAAGACTCACTCTACCTCCTGCCATTACCAAGAGCTAAGGATGTGGTTTTCATGGTGGGGAAACTTGCTCTTTCTCCCATGGCTCAAATTCCCTAGAGATGAGGAAGGTGTGGTCAACACTGTCCTGGCCTCTGAGAACTCCCAGATGGGCTGCGTGCCTTTTCTCCTCTGTTCTCCATGTAATAGGCATGTCCCTCTCGTGGCTCTGTCATGGACTCTATGCCTGTCTGGATCACTCGGGAGTGATCTTTCACTTTCTCCATCATTCATCCACTCCCCAAATGCCTGTGCCAGGGTTGGGGGCAATGGTAGGAAAATGAGACTCAATACCCATCTTTTTTGTTGAAAACCCCATCACCTAACACAGTAAATTTGCATGGTGGCAGCTCAGTTCATGATCACCAAACTCAGATGAATCCAGAGAACCAGAGACAAATCAGAGAGGGGCACTTATCCAGCCCACTGCCAAAAGGGGTCAGGGAGACAGAAACTACCCCTAAGCACCAGTGAGCAAGGCAGTGAGGTGGCTACTGCACCTTCTGTGTTCTGAATGATGCGTTCCACCAACACGGGGTACTTGGTTATGCGCTGAGTGACCAGAAGAATGCATTCCTGTATGCCAAGGCGTCTCACGATGGAAAAGTTGCTGATTTTCTATGAAATAGAAAACAAAGCCATGACATATTGACATTTTATCTCCTGCCCAATCAGTTAATTTAACTTGGTAAGATACTGGGGCTGGAGGCTCCTTCCTCTTTTGGCTGGTAGAGACCTTTTCTTTGCCATTTCACCAGGCATTTAAAGCAGGGATCCCCTGCCATACATGTAAAGGCAACAAAGGCAAAGATAAGATGGCCCCTAATAGACCAGTTGAGAAGAAACCAGAACTAGCTAGGGGGACAGTTATGGGAGCCACCTGGAGACCAGCATGATGCACCCATGTGTGAGAAGATTCCCAACCCTGACTGTTGGCTGTTGGAACCTTCCAGAACTAGACTGGGCCTGTGCCTTCAGAACTGGCTCCCTGCTGGCTTCTGATGTACACCTCTGATTAAGAACCCAAGGAGTGGTCTTCTGAAACTGTTTCTTAGTGGGGGCTGAGAATAGCTCCCCAGAGCATACCATGCACTCTGCCTTTCTGCTCCCACCACTCGTCTGTATTTCAGAAATGCCAGCACTGCAGAGAGGACCAGGAGAGTCACTGAGATGTATGAGATTCTGAGACAATGCTCTGCTCTGTTTCCTTCTTTCTCATCAGAACCCTCCCACTTCACAGGTGTTTCTAGCTCACGATATTGGGTGGCCTGTCCCACTGCTCATTGCAGACAAATTCAGGCCCTAAAGTGCCCTTCTCCACTAATGCAGTGAAATGAAAAGCACCTCACTCTTAATTCCAGACCATTAGTTACAGAATGTCACTTCAGAATGAAGCCCTCAGGGTGCAGGTGGTAGGTGGTGGAGTCCTTTTGGTATCAGGTGGCAGGGGCTGCTGTGGAGACATGCTGATAAAGCCCAGTGGTCTCAACCAGATGCACTTTCTAGAACATGAGCACTTTCTTGCCCAACCCAGTTGACTCAGGCTGGGTGAAGTGTTTTTAGTTCTGAGCTTTGAGTGTTCGCACACTGTTAGGCAAAAGGTGGGTGTGGGTCATTCCACAGGCTATGGGGGAACAAATGGGGACCAGAGAGGGGAGGAGGCAAAGGTTTAGAGTAAGGCACACCTTGCATTAGCCGGAATGTTCGGAGATACAATAGGTGATTCTGGAGGGGGTGGTCCCCAGGCAAGGGTGGCCCCTTGAAACCACACTTGTGTCACCTCAACATTTTGAGAAAGATGGTCAACGAGTTCTACTTTGGGGCAACTCAGGGGCCTCCCTGGTGTGTCTAGGAACAAAGCTCTAACTCTACTTTACACCTTGGAATTCTCCAGAAAATTTCACTGACATGTTCTGAATGAGTTTGTCATTAAGAATGAAATAGAAACTTGAAAATCATTAGTTTATAACAGGTACCTTAATCTCAAGATCTCCAAACAGTTCTGTGGGGAAAAAAACTAGTAAAGAGGATACATTTTTAATTAAAAAAAAATAAAATTTTTTTTTACCTTGATCAAGTTTTGAAATTTCTTATTTTGCTGCAGTAGCAACTTGTAATGACTGACTGCTTCATTATGGCCACTACAAAATACACCATATTTTTCTTTCATTCTCTCTCCATTTTCACCTGAAAACTGAAGAAAGACAGTGGAAAAATCATCGAAATGAAACATGAAAACCACGAGGGAAAGTTTTCTTCCAGTTCATCTCACTCCGCTAAAACAAATACTGAATTCACTTGCAATTTCACTTTCTTTTTTTTTATCCTCCCCCGAGGACATTTTTCCATTTTTTTTGTTCAGATAGAGTGGGAGGGAGAGAGAGGAAGAGAGAGAGAGAGAGAAACATCGATGTGAAAGGGACACATTGAGTGGCCACCACCCACACGACCAACCAGGACTAGGGACAAACTGCAACCGAGGTATGTATGCGCCCTTAGCGGGAACTGAACCCGGGTCTCTCAGGACCACCGGCCGATGGTCTAACCGCTGAGCCAAACCGGCCAGGGCCAATTTCACTTTCTTTTCTAACACACATTCAAACATAGAAATGCTTCATTACGAATATGTCATGGCAAGGTACAATAAAGGTAAAATAAGAAGACTTTCTGCTCATGGGCTTTATGCTATCACAGGTGCTGTTAACAACTTCCTGAAATCTGGAAGGAAAAATGAATTTAAGCTAAAGAATGTTAGAAAAATTTTAAAGCAAAAGGGGTATTCTTCTAATTACTTCTAATGAGCCGACTCAGAAATCTTGGAGCACTCTGAGGTCAGACGAGGCGTTACAAGATCCTCTGTCAATATTGGCCAAAATTCAGAGGTTGACCTAGAAGCCAATTCAGGGTCAGCACCCCTTCCATGAATGGCATTGGTTCATCGATATGCTTCTAACAGCCAAAAACACAGCCACCAAGAAAAAAAATAAAGACCAGCCAATCAACTAAAGAAAAGCCCAGAATGCAATAATGGACAGTGTGCTGCTATTTAGGTGCCTGTGGTTTTAGACCATTAGCTGCACGTACAGTTAGACCAACCAATGGGGGGAAAGGGTTCCTGGACCCAATTCCAATGTGGGGGTGGTTCCCCCACATCAATTATTCCCAGACAATAGCAGGGTCTGACACTATCTACCTGGAGACAACATCAGATTCTATAGTTAAGGGTTCAGTCCCACAAAAGTGCCCCCCCCCAAGACACCAGTTGTCACCTGAGCTCCTGACTAGTTATATATCAGAAGTTCCCACCACCCCCTTCTCAGGTTAGATAAATTTGCTAGAGCGGCTCACAGAACTCAGAGAGACATGTTACTTACTAGATCACTGGTTTGTTATAAAGGATATAACTCTGGAACAGCCAGATGGAAGAAATGCATAGGGACAGGTATGGGAAAAGGGCACAGAGCTTCCATGACCTGCCCAGGGACCACTCTCCCCAAATCTCCATGTGTTCACAATGTGGAAGCTCTCCGAACCATATTGAGTTTTTGTGGAGGTTTCACTACACAGGCACTATTGATGAATTCATTGACCACTATCAATTGATTCAACCTCCAGCCCCTCTTCCCACCCAAGGTTGGGGGTGGGGCGACAGTTTCAACCCTCTAATCACATGCTTGGGTCCCCTGGCAATCAGCTCCTATCCTTAGGTTCTTTCTAAAAGTAACCTCATTCACATAACCAAAGACACCTTTATGCTCTCTTCAACTTAGAAAATTCCAAGGGTTTTGGGAGCTGTGAGCCAGGAAGTGTGGATGAAGACCAAATGTATATTTCTTATGAATTACAATATTGTAGTGAGCCATGTTTTTGTTATTGGGAGGAATAGAGCTGGGGTGAGGGCTTGTCCTCGCCTTACTCACCTGCTGTAACAGGACGTCCCCAATTTTCTGGATGATGTAATTCCGGTCACTGCCCTCTTCCAGGGACTCCTGGCGGCGTTCCTTCAGCCGAGAGAGAAAGTGGCCATGCATCTCAAGCAGGTCTTCTGTGCATGGGAAGAGGCGGTTGATGGCCTTGCTGCTGAACTGCAGCTCCTCCTGCAGGGCCCTGGAGTAGACCTTCAGCATGATCTTGAGTGTCCGCACGTGGTGCACCTCTGTCTGTATCAGCTCTATAGGAACACAGATGACAGGACTTACCACAGTAGGGAGCATACTCTGGCTTTGTTCCCCCCCTCTCTCTTTTTCATTATTTATTTATTGTTTTATAGTGCTTTTTATTTTATTATTTTTATTTTCTCTCTTTTTTAAATCCTCTCTTCATTGATTCCCCCCGCCCCCCCCAGATAGAATGAGAGGGAGGAAGGGAGTGAGGGAGGGAGGGAGGAGGGGGGAGAAAGAGAGAGAGAGAGAGCGAGAGAGAGAGCGAGAGAGAAAATCATCCATGTGAGAGAGACATATTGATTGGTTGCCTACCACCGCATGACCTGACTGGGGCTGGGGATCAAACCTGCAACTGAGGTACGTACCCTTGTCCAGGAATCGAACCCTAGGGCTCTTCAGTCCATGGGCCAATGCTCTAACTACTGAGAAAAACTGGCCAGGGCAAGGCTTTGTTCCTCTTATGTCCCATGGGGGCACTCCTGTGTACTACCCGCCCACCATGCACCTGGCTGATTTCTCAGTTCTTCACCGAAGTCCTCATTCTTGTGGCCTTACTGTCCAGGGGACAGGCTTCCCACCCCAGTGCTGCAGGGGTCTTGGCTCAAGGGAGCAGTGAGGGGTGGAGTGACATAAAGAGAGAGGGCCCAGGATTTGCAATGGGACCTTAAATTCACAGAAGGGTTTTGTGCCTAGAGTCAAACAAAGACATTTCAAAGCTATTTTAAGCCAAAAGAGTGTTTGGATAAATACCACTCCTTGGGGTGTAAAACTGACACATTTGTGTACGTCAGTGGCCAAACTCAGACTATAACTCTTAACTGATGCAAAAGAAGAGCTCAAGTGAGATTTCTTAAAATCCTCACCTGAGGATATGTTTTTATTGATTTTTTTTTAGAGAGAGAGGAAGGGGGAGAAAAACATCGATGTGAGAGAGAAACATTGATTGGTTGTCTCCTGCACCTGCTTGATAGGAAACTGAACCCGAAACCTAAGTATGTGCCCGACCAGGAATTGAACCTGTAACCCTTTTTGGTATATAGGTCAACGCTCCAACCAACTAAGCCACCTGGCCAGGGCAAGTGAGATTTTAATTCATTGCAAAAGACAAATAAAGATCAGGTTTTGTGTTGGAGTTTTTCTCACATTCAAGTCAAGGCCTTAAAGCTGTTAGAAACAAAACCAAAGCTCCAGGTGCCCAGGGAGGGACCGGAGGATTGGAAACAGTCTGTGCTTGCCCAGCTGCCCAGATCGAAGTATCTAGCCTGGTCCTTCCATCTCTCTCTGCAGGATCTCTGGGACCCTGAAGGGAAGCATCCACTAAGGTTTTCCTCCACATCCACACCCCACCTTACTCTGGCCTGGGCAGGGAGCTCAGTGAAATGTGGAAGTTGGTACCAGTAGACCACCATTTTAGAAATGCCAAAATTTCCTGTCAGAATGCCAATGAGGGACAAGAAAATTCCTCCTCAGGTGACACAACACTGTCATTCTTGGGGGATGGTTCCCATGAAGAGAGGATCATAAGAAGAACAAGTAAGAGCCCTGGCTGGTGTGGCTCAGTTGGTTGGAGCATTGTCCTGTACACTGAAAGGTTGTGTGTTCGATTCCTGGTAAGGGCACATACCTAGGTTGTGGGTTCAGTCCCTGGTTGAGGTGCGTGCAAGAGGCAACCAAATGATGTTTCTAAAAAGTCAATAAACATATCCTCAGTTGAGGACTAAAAAAAAAAAAAAAAAAAAAAGAACAAGTAATAGCTTTGAGAAAACAAATGCCTCGGGTTCCAGTGCATTACCATGGGCCTTTGTCACCCTGATGAGAGGGTCCTAGAGGGAAGTACATGGGGCACCCAGCACAGCCCCCGCTTGTGGATGCGCTCTGTGTCTAGGAGCTAGGATTTTCATTGTAACCTGCAATATCCCATCTCACGACAGTGGCCCAAGGCCAGGATTTCCAATAGCCAGTGGGAAGGGATGGCTACCATGAAGCTGGTGCTACAGCCACACGGGGAGAAAGGGACATGACTCCCAAATATCCCAATCACAGCCACGCTCAGGCCTGTTTTCTCTCTCAGGGTCACCAACAAGATAAGGATGAGGCAGGCCTCAGCATTCAGCTATCCTCGTTCTTGGGGAGTTCCTGACCACCTCTTCCCTGGCTCAAAAGGTAGGGCTGTCCTGGGAGAGGGCAAGGAGTAGGTGACACAGTCTCAGAGGGCATCAGCAATGGAACCCAGACTCCCAGGTGGAAAAATTTGAAAAAAAAGAAAAAAGGAAAGAAAAGAAGGAAGTGGTGTGCCACTATGGGAGCATAGGATTTCTTACCATAAAGAACATCCTGTCTCTTCACTACCTCCTTCTTTTGTTCCTTTGCATACGCTGGTTCCACAGACAGGCTCCAGGACTCAGCCTCAAACTCATGGGTGTCCAATTCTATTTCACTCTTCAGTGAAGCAGTGTAGGGGTCTGGGGGAAGAGCAAGAGGCCACTGCTCAGGGCTCTCAGCCTGGCTGGCTCAGGGTACCCTAGTCTTCATCCCGTGAACAAACTGATGTGGGTCCTAGCACTTCCCAGGGTGGATGCAGACCACGTGTCACTGGTGAAGGAACCAGGATGACTGTACCTTCTACAAAAATGGACTCAGCATTTGAAGACGTAAGTGAAAGGGAGTCATCAGCTGCCTGCTTAAATTTCAAAACTACAGAGTCAGCTTCATCCATCTCTTCTGTGACTGTTCTAAATAAAAATCATAAAAAAACAATTATTTCAAAATATTGAATTAAACACACACATCCCATTCTATAAAGGCAAATTAGACTACTAAGCAATTCACTTAAATACTATTTGAGAACTTTATGAATTTTTTTTTTTTTTTGTTAATCCTCACCCGAGGATATTTTTCCACTGATTTTTTAGATAGAGTGTAAGGGAGGAAGAGAGAGAGAGAGAGAGAGAGAGAGAGAGAGAGAGAGAGAGAGAGAGAGAGAGAAATCAATGTGAGAGAGACACATCAATTGGTTGCCTCCCGCACGACCCCGATTGGGCCGGGGACCGAACCTGCAACCCGGGCATGTGCCCTAGACCAGGAATCAAACCCGTGACCCTTTGGTCCTTGGGCTGACACTCTAACCAGTGAGCAAAACTACCAGGGCTGGATTTCAATATATGCCTTAACAAATCACTTTTGAAAATTAGAAGACTATCTGTCAACACAGTATCAGGACTTCTCCCATGATAATAAACCTCAATGTTAAGACATAGTCAAAGTGTGAGTTAATTGTATCCTTCCTTTACTGACCACTGGAGACCCCCCAAATTCCTTCAACCAAGAGTTAGGTGGACAAAGCCTCACTCATTGGAAGGTGGAAGGAGAATCCTTTCAGAGGAAAAAGATAATCAGCTCCTTTCTCCACCACTCATACAAGGATCACCACGATAACATTTTTTTTAGCATTAGGTTTTCTCGCTGAACTCTGCTGAAAGCAATATTAAGTGAACCACTTTGGAGTCCTTGAAACACTGTGTTAGGGCATAAATAACGGGATATAGCCTCCGCAGCAACCTCAGTGACTCTTAGCCTTGTCTTGAATAAAGAAAGGGACCCTGGGCAAGGGTCCTTCAAGGGCATGAAGTAAAAAACAAAACATTTTAAAAAAGAAAAAGGAATTACTCTAAAACAAGTGTTAATGGGAAATTTGCCACTTGGTTGGGGGCTCACAAGTAGATTCATACACCCAAGGATCTCCTTTCAGAGAGCCTGTAAGCAGTGTCCCCATGGAATACCATACCCTGAGCTCCCTCCCTTCATCTGCACCTGACGGCAGAGAGGACCCAGCTTACCCGAGTCTTGTCCCTGTTCCCACTGGACTGGGTGCTGGCTGTGGACCCCCCTTTTGCAAGACTGTCATGCCGACATTCCTGGATGGAGGCAGGCTGCCATCAGACAAGAGGGTGGCCCTAGGGTGCTCCTTCAGGGATGCTGTTACAGAAGCAAATACAGAGTTGGTGCTGAGAAAGTGGGTAGGGTATCGGAGGTGGCCCATCCTGAAGCCCTGCTCTGACTGTGGCCGCAACACTGACAGGATCTTGGAGGTCAGAAGCTCATTATCTAGAAAGACATTCTCGTCCCATTTCTTAGGAAAGGAGCCACAGAAGGACAGATCAGGGTGGTGCAGCGCACTGCCTCTGTTGCTGCCATTGGAATGCGTGCTCCCCATGTTCTCTGTTGGAGCTCCCAGACTCTGGCTGTGTGCTGTTTTATGCCTCCGTGGGATCCTTCTAGAAATGTGAAGCTGCATCTGCTCTTACCTCATTGGCTAAAGCAGCTGCTCTGGAGGACAGGAAATTGGTCCCTACTGTGACCGTTTAGGGTGCAAATCACAATGTATTTTTTCCTTTGGTAAAATAATAGCAACAAAGCATCCTGACACCTCTTTCATCTTAGCAGGGAGTCAAAAGCAGAGAGCAGTTCTGTTCACTGCAAAGAAGCTAAGATCACGAAATAGGGAGCTCTGTGCTTGGTGTGCCTTGGGCTGACATCATTCACACACACACACACACACACACACACACACACACACACACGCTCAGAGACTACAGGGTGTGGTGTTAGTGGCATGCACTATGGTTCCTAAGAACTCTAGTAGAATCCAACCACCAAAATGAATCGTAGGCTCTGATCCTATTTCATATGGTGGTTGTAAACCAACCTAACATGCAATGGGGGATGCAAACAAAGGGTTGTCTACTCTAATCTGTTCATTAATTTAAGAGCTGAGCTATTAGGAAGCACATACCCTGTGATTACTTTTCCCACTGATAGAAAGATGCAACTCTTTGAAAACCAAGCTATCATTAATTAGGCTGATTAGGATCGGCTCCAGTGAATAATTTCAGCTGAATCTGTGACACAGGGACCTTGGGTGATTAATGATTAAGGCAGATGGATAGTGACTCTGAGTGAGAGGTCCATAAAGGAAGTGGTTGTGGGTATGGGCTCTGGATTGGTTGTTTTGCATGTGAAAGGAGCTCTTGTAGGTGAGTCCTGACTATCTATAGGGACTGGCTACCCCTAGCAGTCCTTCCAGGTAAGCTAGGCCTCAGATGTCAGACCATCAAAAATACAGAATAAAATAACGTGATTCATACACCTGGTCTGTGGCAGAGGTACTGATTCATGTCTTGATCAAGCAATTATTTCCAAGGCTGCATATGTTACAGAAAGATTTGATTGGTGGTTGTGTATCTCTTATTTTAAAAGTCTTAAGTAGCTTGAGTGGTGTGGTGGTTAGACTGCTGCAGAGGGAAAAGAATAATTTATCTCAGTAGGTCACATTGCCACCAAAAGACATCATTAAATTTCTGTAAGATGTGCCCCCAAATAAAAGACCAACTCAGATACTTTTTGGAAGTGTGTGTATAATGAATTATAAAGAAAATCAAAGAATATCAGTACTCTGTGGTGTGTGTTTGAGCAAATACAGGCGTTCTAAAATATAATAACTTCTCATTTAACACTTAATATAATCAGTCCTCATTCGCAGATCCTGTATTTATGAATTCACTTATTTTCTAGCATGTATTTGTAACCCCTAAATTGATACTTAGTGGGGTTTTTGTTGCCTTTCGCAGACTTGCAGAACAACCAAAAAATTGAGTGGACCAATATGCACATTCCCAGCAAAGATGGAACATGGCAAAAATTTTCCTCCTTGTTGCAGTCATGCTGTAAACAAGTGCCCTTTTTGCCGTGTATTTAATGCATTTTTTCTCCTCAATTTTGTACTCTTGTTATATGATCTCACTGTTTAAAATAGTCCCAAGAGCGGTGCTGTCTAGTGTTCCTGAGTACAAGAAGGCTGCAGTGTGCCTTGCACAGAAATTCATGTGACAGACACACACCCCTCAGACAAGAGTTACAGTGCTATTAGACATGAGTTTAGTGTTAATAGATTGACAATGTGTATTAAATAAGGTGTCATTTAACAGAAACACATGTAACACAAGGTGATGTATTGATTGGTTGTTGAGAAAGTGTAGCCAGGACCTTAACCCTGTATTTCTTGTATGAGCAGTGGTTCAGTATTCCCTAATTTATTGTCCACTGTGACTTTATAGAACATCGCCACTGTGAATAATGAGAACTGACTGTAACTTTTTATTTTGAAATAATTTAAGAGTCATAAAAAGTTGCAAAGTAGAGTCCCTGTGTACTTACCACTGAGTGTTTCCCAGTGATAATATCTAATGTAACTGTAATCCATTGTCAAAACCAGGACACTGAATATTGGTACAATTATTAACTGGAGGATAGACCTTATTTAGATTTTTGCCAGTTGTTACATGTACTCTTGTGGGGGAAAGGTAGTATATATAGTTCTATGAAATTTTATCCCATGTATAGATTTAAGTAACCAACACCACAGTCACAATACAGAAGCATTCCACCACGCCAAAGAAACAATTATTTTTTTAATAGTAATAAAATATATACAAGTACAGTTCACTGGTATTAGTACACTGTCGTACAATCATCCCCACTGTTCACCTCCAGAACTTTTTCAACTTTTCATACTGAAATTCTGTTCCCATTAAACTTTGTATCCCCCTCCCCCATCCCCTGGCTCCCACCATCTGCCATCTGCCTCCCCCAGGATAGAGATTTTCAACCTTTTTCATCTCATGTCACACATAAACTACTAAAATTCTGTGGCACACGAAAAAATATATATTTTGCTGATTTGATAAAAAAAAAAAAAAAAGATATAATTTTGATTCATTCACACAAGATGGGTATTATTGTATTAGCTATTGTCATTTTATTTAGTCAGTGCACCTGACTAAATAGTCAGGTATTTTATGTTTTAAAAATTCTTGTGGCACATGTTGAAAATTGCTTCTCTAGGAACCTCATATGAGTAGAATCCTACAATATCTGTCCTTTTGTGATTGCCTTATTTCACTAGGTGTAATGTCCTCAAGGTTCATCAATGTTGTAGTGGGTGTTAGAATGTCCTTTCTTTTTATAGCTAAATAAAATTACATGAAAAAATTATTCCTTTGCCTGTTTTGTGGGAGGCACTATTCTCCATTCTATTGGGGAACATGACAGTAATCAGAATAAATAAATACAGTTGACCCTTGAACAACCTCTGGAACTGGTGATTCTTAGAGAGTGTTTTTCTTCTATGGACTGACTAATTGATTAAAGTAGAATCCATCCCACTTCAGGCAGGACCTGGGACCACAGGAACAAAGTTTCAGTCATAACAGGATGCTAGGCAATGGATGAATTTCAAGATCTGTCTCGTATTTGTACCATAAGGTCATAATAGCCTGGGTGGGGTTTAATGTGGTGCAGAAATGGCAGGAAATGCCTGCTCTGGACCATAAAGGCCTCCATTTTATGATTTTTGCCTTTGTAAATGGTAGTTTGTATATGAGTGACAGCTTCATCACCTTGGTATACTATAACGATTGTAGCCACTTAGGATCATGATGTTGCAATATTCGGGGGAGTGGGTCACTGCGCAGATGGCATACTCACCATGCTGAGCTGCTTTAAAGAATGAGTAGCTGAGCCCTGGCCAGCTTGGGTTAGAGTATCGGCCTGCAGACCAAAGAGTATCAGGTTTGATTCCCAATAAAGGGCACATACCTAGGTTGCAGATTCCATCCCTGGCCCTGGTCAGGGTTGTACAGGAGGTAACCAATCAATATGTCTCTCTCACAGTGATGTCTGTCTCTCTCTATCCCTCCCTCCCTTCCACTCAATGTAAAAAAATCAATGGAAAAAATATCCCCGGGTGAGGATTAACCAAAAAAAAAGAATGAGTTGCTTGGATAGTATGCTTTCTGTGTGTGCAACACAGTGTCACACCACTTAGCATTGAAGTTGCAGTTTACTAGCTTTTTCATTACTGCTCTACCACAAATGTTCTCTTGGACATGTGCCTACCTGCACACTACCAACCTCCCTAAATTTTCACCAAAATTAAAATTCACTCAGCATGCTGAACACTTCTCCCCAGTAAAGCTCCTGAAAAAAGTACAGTTTCCTCTAAGGCCGGCCCTGTGCCCACCCCAAGGGTGACCGTCTTCCTGCTGCTGAGACCAGAGTTCTAGCTACTTTCTTCATGTAACAGAGAGAAACCTTGATGGGTGGATGAATTGGGGAACTAGGAGCCAGGTCAAGAAGGTCACTGAACAGATTTCTTTTTAATGCTGACAGCAGCATTAATTAATTAATGCTGACAGCATGGTCTTGGAGCAAAACTTTCCAATATGGCTTTCACCCTGAGAATAAATTAACCAAGTAGCCTGGCTCAACTAGGCTTGAGTGTGTCTGTCACATGAATTTCTGTGCAAGGCACACTGCAGCCTTCTTGTACTCAGGAACACTAGACAGCACCGCTCTTGGGACTATTTTAAACAGTGAGATCATATAACAAGAGTACAAAATTGAGGAGAAAAAATGCATTAAATACACGGCAAAAAGGGCACTTGTTTACAGCATGACTGCAACAAGGAGGAAAATTTTTGCCATGTTCCATCTTTGCTGGGAATGTGCATATTGGTCCACTCAATTTTTTGGTTGTTCTGCAAGTCTGCGAAAGGCAACAAAAACCCCACTAAGTATCAATTTAGGGGTTACAAATACATGCTAGAAAATAAGTGAATTCATAAATACAGGATCTGCGAATGAGGACTGATTATATTAAGTGTTAAATGAGAAGTTATTATATTTTAGAACGCCTGTATTTGCTCAAACACACACCACAGAGTACTGATATTCTTTGATTTTCTTTATAATTCATTATACACACACTTCCAAAAAGTATCTGAGTTGGTCTTTTATTTGGGGGCACATCTTACAGAAATTTAATGATGTCTTTTGGTGGCAATGTGACCTACTGAGATAAATTATTCTTTTCCCTCTGCAGCAGTCTAACCACCACACCACTCAAGCTACTTAAGACTTTTAAAATAAGAGATACACAACCACCAATCAAATCTTTCTGTAACATATGCAGCCTTGGAAATAATTGCTTGATCAAGACATGAATCAGTACCTCTGCCACAGACCAGGTGTATGAATCACGTTATTTTATTCTGTATTTTTGATGGTCTGACATCTGAGGCCTAGCTTACCTGGAAGGACTGCTAGGGGTAGCCAGTCCCTATAGATAGTCAGGACTCACCTACAAGAGCTCCTTTC